CTCTCTCTCTCTCTCTCTCTCTCTCTCTGTCTCTCTCTCTCTTTCTATCTCTCTCCCTCTCTCTTATTAATTCAAATTGTTTTGTCCTCTTTCACGAAGGGTATGTGCACATTGACTCTTTCTGCAACCATACCATCCTTGAAACCTCCGGAATGTGTGAACATGGTGTGCCCAACTGCATCACCTGCTCAGTATGGTGTATTTTATTTTGGACTATATCTCATAGCACTGGGGACAGGAGGGATCAAGCCGTGTGTCTCGTCCTTGGGGGCTGACCAGTTTGACGACACAGATCCTGTTGAAAGCGTGAAAAAAGGGTCCTTCTTTAATTGGTTCTATTTCTCTATTAATATTGGTGCCCTGGTGTCGAGCAGCTTGATTGTGTGGATTCAGGACAAGTGTGGGTGGGGCCTTGGTTTTGGCATCCCTGCTCTCTTTATGGGGGTTGCTATAGTAAGTTTCTTGTCGGGCACACCTCTGTACAGGTTTCAGAAGCCAGGAGGAAGCCCAATTACGAGAATGTGGCAGGTCGTGGTTGGCTGTTGCAGAAAATGGAATGTGGCGTTGCCTAGTGATAGCAGCCTTCTGTATGAGACAACGGATAAAAGGTCTGCTATCGAGGGGAGTAGGAAGTTGTTGCACACAGATGAGTTGAAGTGAGACACTAGTTTTTATTTATTTTATTTGTTTTCATTGTTTGTTATTTTCCTTGGTTTCTCTCACTCACTCACTCACTCACTCACTCAAATTGGCAGGTGGCTGGACAAGGCTGCGGTTGTTTGTGATGGTGAGCGCAAATGCTGCACTGTGACCCAGGTGGAGGAGCTCAAAATCTTGATCCGCATGTTCCCCATCTGGGCCACGGGTATAGTCTTCTCGGCTGTGTACGCCCAGATGTCTACAATGTTTGTGGAGCAAGGAAGCGTGATGGACACGTCCGTCCCGGGCTTCCCCACCCTCACCATCCCACCCGCCTCTCTCTCCACCTTTGATGTCGTTAGTGTCATCCTGTGGGTCCCAATCTACGATCGCTTCATTGTTCCCGCAGCCCGCCGCCTCACCGGCTGCCCGCGCGGCTTCTCTGAGCTCCAGCGCATGGGAGTCGGCCTCTTCCTCTCTGTCCTGTGCATGTCGGCCGCTGCCATCGTTGAGGTCCGCCGCCTGGCATTGGCCCCGGCCCCATCCCCAGCCCCAGCCCCAATGAACGTCTTCTGGCAGGTGCCACAATATTTTCTTCTTGGGGCGGCCGAGGTTTTCATGTTCATAGGGCAGCTGGAATTTTTCTACGACCAGTCTCCGGACGCCATGAGGAGCCTGTGCAGCGCCCTCTCCCTGCTCACCACTGCGCTCGGCAATTACCTAAGCTCCTTTATTGTGACGGTGGTGACGGGGCTGACGACGAGCGGAGGGAGGAAGGGATGGATTCCGGACAACCTCAACGAGGGCCGCCTCGATCTCTTCTTCTCGCTCCTCGCTGGGCTTAGCCTCCTCAACTTGCTGCTCTACGTCTTCTGCGCCAACATTTACAAGTCCAAGAAGCCCTCATCAGGAGCTTAACGCTTTTTAACAGTTTGCATATTGTTTGTTGACTTGGAACATGGAATTTGTCATATATGTTATGATGGATGATGTCAAACTATTGTATTTATTGGTTTTAGAGATGGGAAAACTGAAGTGAGGTTATGTCACGCATGAATTATGTGAGGATGTTATTTATGTATTATATGTCAATTCCTCTGCTATTGATTTTCGAAATATGTCCAGCTGATTAATGAGAAGAATATGCCAAAGATTTGGGTTTCAAATTATGTTTTTGGGACCTG